GCTCAATTAGCCATCTGCCGAGGCCCTTTATCTCTATCAGTCTATTCCCTAGCCACATGGGATAAAAGATCCCATTGAAGACTTGGACTTTAGTAATTCCTCAAGTTCAAGTCCCTCTTTAAAGTATGATCAAGCTGACAAAACATATCAGTTAGGAAAAAGACACATGCTAAAAGAGGCTACATAAGTTTTTTTTTTCTCAGCTTCCTTCCTTTCCTCTCTGTTGTGTTAACTGAGTGCAAACTGCTTTTATATTTTGAATTCAGCTTGCAGCAGCTGAAGTAAGCTGGGGAGAAAGTGGGGAAAAGGGAGGAGAAGAATTTGCACTATTTCTAGCAGTCTGCAAAGGCCCAAAAACAGGGACATTTTTTAAAAAGCTGAAGGAGTGAGGGGACGCCCTGGTCCGGAGCACCGCGGGGCCATGGCAGCTGCACCGTGGCGCTCCCGCGGTGACCCTGAAAGGAGCGCCAATTTTAGAAGTCAAGGAAAGTGCGCCCTAAATGCGTAGGGCACACTTTCCCTGACTTTTCCGCCGCAGCACATGCAGTCGCTGCGGCGGGAGGTTGCCCTCAGAGCTGCCGGCCCTCCGCACGTGCGGCTGCCCCTCCTCTTCCAGACCTCGGAGACGACTCTATTAGTTGTCTGCCGAGGCCCTGAGATGATAGAGGAGTAACTGGGACAGCTGGATAATGGATTTTGCTGCCATCCCTTGTGATGGAATTTGCAGTGCAAGAAAATCAGGAAGGTTCCCACATCCTTACCTTTGGTATGAATCCCCCTAGATTTAAGTTTAAAAGAGCAGACACTGAAGCACATTAGCTTTCAAAGACAAGAAATACAAGACTTACAACCAAACCACTGTACACTGGATAAAATGCAACAGATATGTAATGACCAAATGCAAAAATTCCTGCAACGATCCCAAGGCCAAAGCATAGCAGTCCAATCATGATCTGTAAGGCCTGTGGAAAGAAAAGGCACACAGAAGATAAAGCAGGTCCCTGCGGCCTCGATATGCATGCATTCAGAACACCATTTCAATATTGGTGAAAATCCAGCATGGGTGTTTAGTCTAGTCCCCTTCCTCTATACAAAACCAAAACAGAAGTGCTTCTTTGTCCTAAGAATATGTGGCTGCCATTTTCAAGATGGTTTAATCCTGAAACAGATTAAATAGGGGAAAAACTACTTTAATCCAACTACCAAAGTGAAATATCATCACTAAACTTCTCTAGTCAGTCCTGCTTTGCTATCAATCACTGTCTAAACTCACTGTGCAGTCCCTTCTTCTTTCAAACCTTTCCCCAAAACAAATCCCTCCTGAAACAATACTATATCTGTCATGTAACATTATTTGGAAGGAGGGGAAGTTGCAGGGAGCTAAGTCTTTGTGTGCTACTTTCAAAATAAGTGGACAATTTTACTGGTGGAGGAATAAGCCAGATTTGTGATTGCGTAAATGCCTGTTGAACCATGAAGGTTGATGTAGAAAATGTAGTTTCCCAAATGCCAAAAAGGTGCTGGTGGAAGTGGAGTATTCCTTCTTCCCTCACCACAGCTAGTGGTAGCAGACAGGTAAATGGATATGTATATTTTTTGTGGGTTTTTTGGGCTGTGTGGCCATGTTTCTG